ATATATATATATATATATATATATATATATATATATATATATATATATATATATATATATATATATATATATATCCCCATGAGATCCGACTATGTGGACTATACTGAATATGTCTATATTGTAATTTGTCTATAACGTCAATTATTTTAAAACATATTTATAGCTTGTTTGGCCAAGTTTTTTCCCACCCCAAAAGTGCTTTTTTTTCTCAAAAAATACTTTTTTATCAATTTGAGATGTTTGGCCAAGCTTTTTTTTGGAGAAAAAAGTGCTTTTGGGAAGAAGCAGAAGCAGTTTTAGAGAAGCAGAAAAAAGTAGTTTCACCCCAGAAGTAGAAGCATTTGACTTTTTTTCTTACCAAAAATACTCTTAGCAAAATATGGTATATATCAAAATAGTCTTGCTTATTTTAAACCTAATACTTAAAATTAGAGATTATATTATTAAACTCTCCTAATGTATAAATATTTCTTTTTATTTTTAGGATAGTTGTCTAATATATGGTGATTTTTGAGATGAATGCTTTTATATTTGTTAAATATCTTTTTGATATATTTAGATCAATCTTGAAAGAATTAAAATACTTTTTAATTTTATTTTCATGTTTTACTTAAATAAAATAAAAAACTTAATTATTACTATCTTTAATAATAAATATTTCGAGATTATTTATTTATTCATATAATATTAACTTAAGTAAATCTATTCATGCCCTTATTCATAATTTGATACGTAATAGTATTTTTTGAAAAGTTTAGACAAACATAAATTATTATTCAAACGTGTTTTTCAAATTGATTAAATTTTTTCAGCATGGCCAAACAGGCTATTAGTTTCATTGCTGTTATAATCCGATTACTTATAAAGTAGGGTCACCGCTCGCCTCCCCTAATACTTAAACTAGTAATATTTGGGACCAAAGAGAGCACAGTAATAAATATATGAATAATAAATTTTACTTACACTAATTTAGAAGAAGACTTGTATTTATTAAAGGAGATGTAAGTTAGGTAACATAACATAAAGAAGACACAAAAAACTTGATCAAAAAGTTATTAGAAAAAAAAAAAAGGCAAATGGTTTCTTCTTCTTCTTCTACTTCAACTCCATCTTTGCAGGTGAAAATTCCGGCGACCGGAGAAGGAAAACTGACGATAAACGTGAAGTCGCCGACGTCGGAGATGTATGCAGAGGTGAAAGAAGCAGATAAAGTAAAAGATTTGGAAAAAGTGATTAAAAAGGCATGGGGAGATGATTATTTGGCTCTTTATTACAAATCAATTAAAATGAAAAGTGATCAGCCTTTATCTTTTTATAATTTAAGAGATGGTTCTATTGTTAGAGTTTCTCTTCTTGCTGAACCTCCACATGAATCTGTAAGTCCATTTTCCTCTAGCTAAAATTAATTTTGCTTTTTTGGAATTCTTGTATATAGAGTAAATTAATTAGATTTTACTGACAAGGATTGTGGTGGAGACCTTCATTCTTAACCAAAAGTCTCGGGTTCGAGCTCTAGGTATGGAGTCGTCTTTGTGAGGGAGTGCTTTACCTCCCAATATGGGACTTCCAGGCGCGAATCCGAATTTAGTCGGGCCCCAATGCGTGTACCGGACACCAGGTGGAAAATCAAAAAATATTAATTAGATTTTAATTTAAAATGGAAAACTAAATTCAAAAATTAATTGATAGGAATTTAAAAGATTTAACTAACTGAATATCCAATATCGTTATCTTATCTAGTTAATTACTTGCTTCCTTTTTGTGGGGTCTTCAAATTGTCAGAAGATTTTAATTTTGAATAATAGGGCAAATATCTTTTTATATTTCTAAAAGTGCATATGATCTGTATTTTTTTGAATTTTTTATATTCTTAATTTTATTTTGGAAGTGAATTGATAAACTAAGTTATAAATTTGACCTATTTAGAAAATGAAACACATATCATTGAGTCTATATATTGACTTTTAGCTGGATAAGAGTGTGATTTCACTTCTTTTTTTAATTTAACATACAATTCTCGACCATCCATAATTTTTTTTTTTTATAGAGAAACATTTTTGGAATTAAGAGCATTGGATAGAGAAAGTCAATTTACGATTTAATCTTATTTTCACTTAGCATTTAGGGTTAGATTGCAATAATTTTCATCGTGAATGCTACCAAAGATGTTAGAATATTCTATATCAGTTGAAGGAATGAGCTATTATATTCTTATATGATTTTGATGATGGTTATCTCATAAGTTAACTTTTAGAATTGATTTAGATTCAATATTCAGCTTCTTTATATGGTATCAGAGTGAGTCTTAGGTTGTATTATCCCATCCTAGATATCCAGACCTAGACATTTTAAAGGGTGTTAGATTAATTAGGGATCATTTGATAGGGTGTATAAGAATAGTATTGAGTAATACTGAGATTAGTTATGTTGGGACTAGTTATGCTGAAATTATTTTTTATCGGTTTTTTTGTTTGGTGCATTAAAAACCACATGTGTTGCATAATTTTTTTTAAAATTTATTTGTTTACAGAAATATCCTCCACATTCTTTAAAAAGGATAGAAAATAATTTTGAAAGCACAGTTATGTCATTATACATGCTTATTCATGTACTCAATATTAGTATTGTTAATGTCATGGTTTGCTATGTATAAGAATAGTACTGAATAGAGTGTATTAGTTATATATAGATTGAAAAACACTACCAAATAATTTAAGAACTCAATAATATCAAAACTAATACATATATTATATTCCCTAATACATCCTACCAAAAGACTCTTAATGTTTTATACATAATTGTTAGAAAGACTGAACTGTTGTTTCTTATATAGTCTTAAACGATTCTCAAGTCATGAGCCATTTTTAGCATTTTCTTTTAACTTCTAAAATTAAATTAAACCCAAGATCAACTACTTGCGCATAGAGCTTAACACTGGAGCGTTATATGTACGAACAATGAGAAATACTATTTTTTTTCGACGCAAAAAGCCAAATAAATTATTAAAAATAAAAAGCAAGAACTAACATCGGTATCAACGGCATTTAATGACTGTCGATATGGTTTAATGATCGTATCATACATCCGTGAATTCCAGCTCATTGTTTCATCAAGTGCATTTAGAAAAATATCTTATTTTTTAAATTTCTCAACTTTGGAATTTGCAAGTTTGACTAAATGTACTTTGACTATAGATCACTCTTTTGGATTTAGTAATTACCATGTGTTGAATTCTTTTGTTCCCGCCCCGTATCGGTATTCGTATTCAGAGATAAAGCCAGAATTTGAACCTTATCAGTCCAGGATTTTAGTATGTTTAAGTTATTAGGTTCTAAATTAACAATATATACATATTTAATGAATATCTAAAGACAAATATAGGGTTTGGGTAAAAGCTACTGGATTCGGCCGAACTCGTAAGACCTATGCTAGCTCCACCCCTGATCGTATTGGGCTCCAATTAAATTTGAATTCGTGCCGGAAAATCCTATATTGGAGAGTAAAGCGATCCGTAATAAAGACGACTTCATACCCAAGGTCTCAAATCCAAAACCTGAATAAAGGAGTACTTACTACTCCATCATTAACCCTTGTTGGTCCATGTGTTGATTTTTCTTACTTATTTAATCTTGGTTTCTTGAAAATGCAGAAATCTTCACGTGAAACCAAGAAACATGCCAAATTGCAATTGGAAAGGAGGAGTAGCACCAACAGCAGTTCTAATGGTGGAAATGGCTGTGGCAACGTTGTGTTTCATATGGCTAAGATGTTATCTCAATTCTGCTCATCCATTTTTCCCAGCCATTAATTACTACAATTGATTGACGAAGAAAATTTATAGTACTATTACTTAGTTCCTAAAGTACGAGATAGGAGTTGGAAAAAAAAAAGTACGAGTTAGGAAAATGGAGCGCCCTTTCCTTGAGAAATAGACGACTTTAATTTTAAGACTGTCAAGAAAATCGAGCTAATATGTCATCGTAAAAGTTGACATAGCTGAATAAATACTATCAACAAAATTAAACACCCTGAAATTTTAGGTGAGCTTTTTTGAAGTTCTTCAGGGTTTCTTTAAGTTTTTATTTTATTTTATTTTATTTTATTTGTGACGAAACTTGTACTCCAATAACATCTGTTAGTCTATCCATCAAAAAAAAAAAACATCTATAGGACTACATAATGTATGTGTGAGATATTTTTACTACTATTGGCTAGGTGTGAAATGGCCAATGGTACAAGGCACTTATAATTTTGAAGTTGTTTTGGTAAAATTTTGGTGAAGTGTGTCTCTTTATTTCCCACTTTGATTAATTCTTGCATTCATTTGATTTGGTAATAGTGTGAGTTACTTTATTTTAATGCTACTATTCCCTCCTGTCCATATTGGTTGTCTTGATTACTAAAATAGTCCAAAATAGTTGTCATTTCAGAAAATCAAGATATAATTAATTACTTTTTATCTATTCTGGCCCTTAGTATTAAACGTTCTTGAAAAAAAAAAAAATTGACTACATAACCTAAAAACACTTAGAAATGAAGAGTATTAAATAATTGTATAGTAGTCAAAAAAATCCTCTTATTAATAATTTCTTAAGGACAAAAGAGAAATAGGACAATTAAAATGGACCGGAGGGTCGTAGTGATTAGCAATATACCATATGGTGCTCGTGTTTACTTGGAAAGAATAAAGAACCATTTTAGCAAGGAGAAATTCAAAAATAGCCAGATTTACAAATGGTCATTCAAAAATAGCAACAGTTTCAAAAGTAATCGAAATTTAGCCACTTTTCATGTAAAGATAAATTTGAACGAAAACATTGTTCAAAATCCAGAAAATACTGCAGCATAATATACTGGAGCTCCAGCATAAGTATATTGGAACTCCAGTATATTATAATGGAGTTCCAGCATAAGTATACTGGAACTCCAGCATATTATAATGGAGTTCCAGCATAAGTATACTGGAGTTCCAGTATAATATACCGGTCCAGTATAATATGATGGAAGTTCATACACAGGTGCTCCAATTTCCAGTATATTATGCTGGAACTTTCCGCGTGTTGGAGTTCCAGCATAATATGCTGGTAGTTTATACACAAGTGCACCGATCTCCAGTATATTATGCTGGACCCGTCCCTATTGCAGCAAAATAGTGGCTATTATTCAATGACTTTACAAACGCTCGCTATTTTTGAATTACCAATCCAAAAACTGGCTAGCCCCTGCTATTTTAACTTTTGTTTCTTGTCAAATCTTATCAAGTAATAAAGCCATCGTCATGAAGCTTTAGGTTTTAAAGCTCATAAAGACATTCAATAATTGATGAGACAAAGATGATAGAGCTATGACTATGCAATAAAGTAAACTGGTTTGATTTAAGTTATATATATTGATAAGAAAAAATTTATACGATAATTAAGTGTAATTTAACTTATCATTATACATATTAACTATAATTTTATCAAGTTATTAATTAATTATTTTTATTGAGATTTATCTCTAATAACCTTGTAAGGACTTGATTGTATAATACTTCTTACTCCATCGATACATGTAAGTATGTAACTTCCACTCAAACTAGTTTTGCAACAAATTTGCCTTCGAATAATTATCTTTATAGAATACTCATTTTAGTGATTAATTGTTGTATAATAATTGTTTCTTGATTTATTTAGTTGTTTGGTGACACACAACGACGAAGTTGTATTATATACGACAAAAGATTATTAGTAATCTTTGTTTTATTTGAAGTTTAGTTACCCCTACACTAGAGATACAATATTGAAAGAAGCAGCTTTTAAAATTATACTACTAAAAGAATTTCGCGATTATTTATTTTCTTGCTTGGAAGTACAATTTAGTCCTGATAAATTTAACTTTCAAATTACGATATTTTTCGTTTTACTATTTGTATAGTTTTTTTTTTATTTTTTATGGGTCCAAAGGAAAGCACTTACGTTAAAATTATATAATATTGTATTGTTTGTACTTATATCATTAGCTAGTACTACTTTTTCAAGATTCCAACAATTATTTCTTTGTTTTTTATCTGAGATGTTCAATAGTTTTTTCATCTTTGTATTATTAATGTATTTATCTATATTCATATCTATCCATATCCATCTATCTATCTATCTATCTATCTACCTATCTATTTATATTCTATCTATCTATATCTATATATTATATTAAGAGCATAGTGAAATGTCGTTCCCCTTTTTTATCCTTTAAAAATAAAGTTCACAGTGAATAAAAGAGTAATTTAAATATATTTCAAATATGTAAGAATGATCATTTAATTATTTTCCTAATATCAAGAACATTGAAATTAACTATAATTCTGATTATTAAAAATTTTCATAGTTGAATTATGTAGAGAATCTTTATATTTAGAATTCTAAAAGCAACTAAATTTTATTTTCTATAGGTTTCCTTGTTTCAAGCCCATTAATATTAAAGTTGTCGCAAACTATAAATCTTTTATCATTCAAAACTTAGAATTTGAGTACTCATATTTGTACTATATTTTTTGCGTAGATTAGCACTAGTTTAAAGCTACTAAAAAGAGGGTAAACATAGGTTATATATGACAAAAAAGTGAAATACTCATTGTATTTGGCAAAATTAAATGTAACATCGAATTATTGGGTTCAAAAGGAAAAGATATTAGAAGAATGAGCAGGAATATCCCAATTAAAAGACGTTACAAACGTTACCAATTTTCAATGACACCAGGGTTTAATCTCTCGGCTAAAGATTTCATTATTGTTTTAAGAGTGATTTTTTGTGTCTTTCACCTGTTGTCTTTCATTGTTGATTGAACTTGAAAAGATTCTTGCTTTGTCTTTTTTACGTTCTTTTTAGTTTGCCATATGACAAGTTTGATATTTTCATTAAGGCTTAATCGTTGATTGTGATTCAGACTCTTTTATTGCTTATTAGTGCTTTTGCTTTTATTTATCATCTTCTTTTATGTTCTTAACTTGGTATTGTCTAACCTTGTGTTTTCTTTCTCCAAGTTTTAGGTTACCGATTCTATATCTTAGAAGCTTAGCTTTTAGATCTTTTAAAACTAACACAACAAAGTATATCAAGTATATCGAGGTAACTTATTATTTATTTTGTTCCTCACCAAACGAGATATGAATTATGCCTTAGCATGTGAGTCCCTTAATCTTTTTTATTTTTTTGTTTTATAGAATATTATTGTAACATTTGGCTGATTTTTCTTGGTTTAGTTTGTTGTTACTTTTGTTTTTGATGCTTTTATAGAATTTTGGAAGAATTATTTTCCGCTTAAGTCTTATTCTCTTCACCATCCAATTCATTTATTTAGGATAAAAGATTATGTTGGTTAATACTTTGGATTAAAAGATGATTTATGTGTGAGAAAATATCTAAATACTAACGTAGTCATATTATTTTATATTTATATACCGACATCAGTATTACACAATAATTCATATTATTTAATATTTATACATTATTCTATGGATACACGCAAAGTTCACATGCAACACACACTAAAGCTAGTACTATATCAAAAGTATGAAATTCTTAGCGAAATGTCGTTTGCCTTTTTACCCTTTAAAAACTAGAGTTCAGACTACACAAAATATTCTTTTAATTATTATTATCCTAATATATAGGATTATTCATTTAATAATTTTCCTAATTGTAGGCATATAAATTTTACCTAAATTAAATCCATAAAATAATTTGGACTATATTTTAAATTCAAGATATATTGGTCCAAATAAATATTATGGGCTAATATATAAATGAATTAATTATATAGGTCCAATATATATGGATTAAATAAATGAATCTTAATCCANAAGAACAAAAGCAGCTTTCGGATTTAAAATAGTTTATTCAATTGTTAAAAACTATTTAGGAAGCAATTGCTCAGTGAACCGGGTGGTTACAAGTCTATGTAGCTATGAGATAATTGAGTCGTATAAAGAATTAATAGGCTCTTAAGCTATTATTCGAAGGAAGTTTGTCCCAAAAAAAAAAAAAATTGTACTTCAAGTCTAGTCTACTAAAGTTTATATTCCGACAATTCTTGGAATAGGGGGGCATTTGTAAGCATGTAAAATTTATCGGATTCAAATCCAATAAATAATTAGGATTATATTTTAAATTCAAGACATTTGTCCAAATAAAATACTATGGGCTAATATAATTAAATTAATTATATAAGTCAAATATATATTTGTGAACCCCTGATCGCAATTGCGAATAATTGCAGCCTGTTAAGTTGGGATTTTCAGACGGGATTTTCACCATTTGGATTGAATAAATGAATCTTAATCCATTGGGCTAGCCCATTTAATTGGGCTAAAGTGATGAATCCACTTCATTAAGCCCAAGATATCATCTTCCTAGAGGCCCAGTTTGGTGTCACGCGTGAAATGATGTGGCACACCAAGTCAAACAAAAGAGTCAATAGGATCATGCCACGTGTCAAAATGACAAGGCATGCCAAGTCACACTAAAAGGCCAATGAAATCGCTCCACGTGTGCAAGTGACATGTTCTGGCCAATCAAATGCGGCCATGTCACACTTCAATTTGATTGGTCGGAAAGAGTTTGTTCTTATCATGACTCCTCCCTTCCACAATTATAAATAGGGGTCTTCATAACTCAGAAAAGACACGAAAAGTTATAACAAGAAGCAAGAGAGAGCTCGTGGATCGAACACCGCAAATTTCTCCACAAGTTTCAAGCTTCAAGCAATCAAATTCAAGTTCAACAAATCAAGTTCAAGCTCAAGAACGAAGAACAAATCAAGTTCAAGCTCAAGAACGAAGAACAAATCAAGTCCAAGCTCAAGAACGAAGAACAAATCAAGGTTCAAGAAGTGCGAGTTCAAATCAAAGTTCGTGCCAGTTGAATTCAAGATCATCGTTCGTGGCAACAAACATAGATTCAAGATCAAGCTCAAAGGCCCTTGAATTTATTTACTGTTGAAAAGAAGAATCAGAGGATTCATAGAGATTGTACACTCAAAATATTCGAAATAAAAATACTACGATTGTTGCGATATTTTCGGTCTTGATTTTATTTTCTCGACGCAAATTTATTGTCTACAAATTCTGGCACGTCCAGTGGGACAATCTCTACCTCTCATACCAACTTTTCATTCACCAAATACCAAGAATATTGAAATGGCTTCAAAGAAAATCAACTCCGGTTCAACTTCCACCAAGGCTGCTAACTCCAAGTTCTATGCTGGTGTGGAAAGCATCCTCGATGTCACCTTCGGAAGCTTCGGA